AACTGATAACTCTCCAGCTGCTTCACATTAGCATGAATCTCTGCCATATTCCATCATTTCCATTATGCCCTAAGATATAAGTAAAGAACATGAGCTCCATTCGTTTCTCTCCAAGTCTCCCCATCTGTTTCTTTTTTTTTTTTTTTTTATTTTTTAAATAGAATAGAGTTGGCAAGTTTACATCCCTTCTCTTTCCCAAGCATGCATTATCTCTATGAAACAGGTGGCAGCAGTCTCTCCTTTACATGTAAATAAATCTGGATGCCCGTATTTACTACAGTCTATGTCTGCATAGGCCTGTAATCTTGAATGCTGCACTACTGCAGACATAAATAAAATAAAACAAATGAATACTTTTTGAAAATGACAAAAATAAGTTATTAAAGCCCAACATATTTTATTATAAGAAAGACTCACTTTTAAAACTTTCAAATGTAATTAACCAAAAACTAAATATGGATATCTGTTTACAAAGTAACTTACTAGAAGGTTTAAGAATTAAACTTGACATTAAGTCAGCATTTCATACAAGTGTACAGAATATCTAACCTCATACTTCAAATCATAAATATGTTGTTGGAACAACAACCACCCTTAAGTTCCTTATATAAAACAACTACCCTTAAATTCCTTATATAACATGCAAAGTCCCAAAAGGGCAAAGCTGATCACATGGAGATAAACTATCCAACCAAACTAGTCCATTCACAAAACTTGCTTTTTCTTTAAATAACTGAAGGCATTTACAATTTAGAAACCCCCCAAACCCTTACACAATAGCTATCCCATACTCCCTCCCTCCCCTTTTGTGGTTAAAAAAACCCCTCAAAACTGAGAGGTTAAAGCAGAAGGGTTGAATTAAGTTAGGCTGAGACAAGGACCAGTCTAGTTTCTTTTCAAACACGTTTCTTTTTAAGTGAGTCAGGGCCAGCAGTTCCCCTCATTTTTTTTTTTTTTCATAATAGCTCAGGTATCTCATAAGATTTAGTCTAATGCTCACATGTCTCATTTTAACCTTGCAAAGAAACAAAAATTCAGCTTTATGACATCAGTGACTTTCTTGTTTGTGCACATCAGGTTTTAATTTCATTGCAGAGTCAAGGAGGATACTGAGAACAGAGAGAAAGAAATACCATTTTTTTTTAAGCAAATACTTTGCAACTAAAGTCAGAAAATAAAAATTACTGAAAGTCTGTTCCCCCCCCCGAAAATATTTTCTGCTCCCTCCTTCACTCAAACTTTTTCCTACGTTGAAAGAAATGACAATACCCTACCTTGGCTACTCTAAGGAGACAGCAATATTGCCATCGTTCAACAGATAGGAGGCTTGCTACAGTACTCTTGGGTAAACCTTACCCCGGTGATCTGTCCTCCGGCCAGCATGAGCTGGGTCTGGGGTATGGCCGCCTGCACTGAAGGCTGCTGGGAAGGCTGGCTTGGCTGCTGAGAGTCCCCAGATTCTTCATTAGATTTAGACTAGGGGAAAAAAATATACAAGTCTTTATAGTGTAAAACAGATGTTAATGCATACACTGCTATCTCAACACTGTGCAACAAAAATCTTTTTCATCTACATACGAAAAGCCCCTGGGTTTATTTTAAGAGTGGGTTTAAGCAACGGCTTTATGTGCCCACCATCTCAGCTATGATTGCTCTAACATGTTTGTAGATAACGCAGTTTGAATAAAACAAAGAGACTCTCAGGTCTTTTGTAACTCTTTGACATTATTTTCAGATCCTATTTCATTTTACGCAATGTAACTGAAGCGGACACTACCTTTTACCATAAAGAAAGAAAAGGCTGTTAAAATTATTCACTGCCTAAAATCCTGAACAATGGAACAAGGGAAAGGAGATTGTGTTTCCATTTTCTGCATCTGCATCCTGCACCTCTAAGTCACCATGTTGTTGACTTATAGGGAACTAGTTTGAGAAACCCTTATATGTTTATCTACCTACAGCAAAGCGCACAATAAATACAATGCTTTTAAATAATCAAAGTTCAGTATTTACTTAATTGAATGCTGCTTTACTTTATAAAAGGCTATTTATTTATTTATTTAAGAAAAAATTGTGAAGACATGAGGGAGGAAATGTAAGTGCATGAAGAGGGGGAGAGAGTTTTATGATAATTAAAACTGGTTATGCAGAACGCTAAAATTCTGCATAGATTTGCATATTTTCCACCACCTGTTTTGGGGACTGCAGAGCAGGCTAATTAACATAAAGGCTCTGATTAATTCTGCCAGTCATTGAGCGATAATTACAGCGCAGGACTGTAAACATTCTGCACTGGAGATACAGCCTGTTTGCCAACATCTCTCTCAGGGATGGAAGTTTACCATGGCAACCAAGGCAATTTTCTGCCTCCTTCCTCTTAGGAAGGAAGGTCACCATACCTCCTCTTCTTTCCAAATTGGTATTATGTATAAGTGGGTCCACATTCTATTGCGTTTTATGTAATGTACTACACACGTTTTTAATAACAAGCAATACTGAAACCAGTTTTCAATACAACCACATCCCTTGCCCCTTAATGTAGTTATTGAGAGGAAGAAGCATGTTAACTGGTACCCTACAAAGTGTTCGGGACCATATAAAAAGTTTGAAAGCTTTGTTGTCTCCTCAACATTATTAAGTAGCAACTACTCGGACTTATTTTGAAATTTACCGTGTTTTATTCAGACAAGCAATCTACGCTAGCCACATTAACGTTAACTACGTAGATTAGACTCCTATATTCAGCTACCAGAAGTAAGCACAATTTGCAAAGTAATTCTGGCAATGAAATCCTTGCAATGATTAAAATAAGGGAAGAAATGGAAGAACATGAAATATTCTTGGAGTTTTATAGATAGTTTTCATGTTCTATTACAGCAGTTGACTGAAATTCAGCATAAAATTATGCTCTTTGGATGTTTTAAGCATCTCCAGTTTCTGAATGCTTACAATCCTTTACAGCTGTGGAACTATTATCCCTCTGTACCTTTCTCCTGCAAGCCCAATCAAAATGAAAAAAATACCATAGCTTAAAAACTCTAATGGGACGAACAACCTGTTTGGGAAGGAGAACGAGAAAAGGAAGAGCAGGAGAAGGAAACAGTCCTTACCTGTACATTTAAGGACTGAGCAGCAGCCTGTAAACTTGTTCCAGCAAGCTGGACCTATAACATAGTGCAAATGCAGGAAAGAAATAACGTAGGAGCCACAGAAAGCTTTAAAGAGGCAAAAAGAACAACCCCCCTCCCTTCCAACCAACAAATAACTCTTCCAAGAACAACACACACACACACACACCCCTGTAACACCTGAATGACTGAAACAGGGGTTACGCCCAACACTGAGAAAATCCATACGGACCTTCCACCATGTTATTTGTCTGCCTTTTGCCGAAGGTATTTCTTCCTGCCTAGGGACCTAGGTGTTAATGTGAAATTAAGTAGCAACAGAGCATTTTGGGGTGGACATGTTGACTGTTCCTATGTAAGTATCTAGGCTTTGGGAGGCGGAGGCGGAAGTGTTAAAACTCTAATCACCATCTTCTAATGTTTCAGAATGGCTCTTACCGCAAATATGCACACCGCATTCACTCGCTTCCTTATACAACAAAGGAGCATCAACTGCATAGCATACAACCCACAGCACAGAAACTCTTCCACAAATCAAACTGTTCAAGTATTTGCTGTCCTCAGTCACTTAAAAGAAAATCTCGATACTGAGAACTGGAGACGCTTAGTGAAGGCTGTACTGGGTATTCAGGTATACCCAAAACTTAAATTTGATGTTTGCGATTAACAGCCAAGTCTAAAGAAGTTTTTTGCTGGGTAGCAGTGAAGAGAAATTGATGTTTCAGAAGCTGAGATTTTTAAATAGTATTATTTTATCTCTAATAAGAATTTTATCTGGAACAGTAAGTGATAAAGGTTCATTTAGTGAAGATCACTTTAATCACGTTCTCCTTGTTTTTACCACCACTCCTACTATAAAGGAGCGATGTTATGTAATAATTAACACTTTCAAAGGTCTAAGTTACAACCTGTAGTTAATTCCATTTCTGACCAGGTTTGAAAACCAGGCAATACATAAGGATAAGAAAAAATAAATCAAAAGGTGGCACTGTGTCCTCTACAAAAAGGTATATACCTTTTCATATACCACATAATATTCATCATATAAAAGAGCATCAACATATCTGCAAGCATAGAAAGGAGAGTTTTAATTCAAATTCACTACATGAATATTTGTGCAGGCAACCCCTAAGAGTCACTCTGGAAATACTTCCTACCTCTTCAGATGAAATTCTATCAGACTTGCTAAGTATATTCTCTATCTAAGAAAACACTCCCAGAAAAGCAGCTCCTCATCGCATTCAAAATATAGTTTACCAGAGTCGATGCAATCTGAGCAGACTAATCAGAACAGAGAACAGGCTAAACAATAAGCAAAACTGGCTGTCACCCCCCCCTAAAAATCAGAAAAAAAAGTAGTCAGAAATAATGTTTTATCAATTACAGCATTAAAAAAAGACTATAAACATCTCTCTCGGGTACAGTCAGCATATATCTGAAAGTCCCTTTGAATGCAACTGGATCCCCTTTCTACCACACAAACATTTTCTAATTAGAACATTAAACTAAACTGTGCCTGAATGCTGCCTAGTATCTAATATTTTGTATTAGTCTGAAGGAAAGCAGTGCGTGTTAAGACTGAATCACATCTTATTAACAGCAGCCATACTGGAAGAGAATAGCCAATTTTACCATAAATTCACACACAACCACAGGTTCATGAAAGAATAGCTGAGATTTTTCTTTAAACCAGTGTTCAAGAAATGAGTAACGCTTTATAAAATGTGAAGTTATGAAGATTCTAACAGCTGTTTAAATAAATATATTTTCAAAGTAATAAAATAACTAAATAAAATACTGTGCTAAATACAATTATGAATGAATCTATATAACAAAATGAAAACTAAAGCAAACTACCAAAACACACAAAACTTTTCAGAACATCTGCATCGGTCTCTGTGTTAAAACCATACCGCCAACCCATGAAAACTAGTCAGCTTCTCTACGTGTAAAGGCATCCTACAACAGCCTATAGGTTTAGCAAATTCAAACACTGGCACTCCCTACATCCTACATAACCACATCTACTAGGAAAATTATAATTATGTGACAAAAAGTATCAAATGCTCCATACAGTGAAATGGTAGTTCTGAGCTCTTAAAAGAGGGTATAAAAGCTTCAGTATGTCAATTATACCACAATAACTGTGCAACCTCGGACCTCAAGCATTCAAGGTCAGCCAATTAGCTACAGTTTTTTTTAAAAGTTTAAACTTGGTGCCAAGGAAGGGAAAGAAATCAGGACATTTGTTTTCACACACCAAGCGTGATCAGACAGAAAACTACCCCCCCCACCCTAAAATACTCCTTACACTTCTCTTTGCCTATGGATGCCCCGTTTCCCTTCAGCCTACATCAGAAATTCAGCTTTGATTGCCTAAACAGAGCAGCAGCAAAACGCAGGAGAGGTAGTAGAAACTTGAATATCATATGGCAAACACGTCCTTCAAAAAACTTTTTCTTAAACAACAACAAAACAAAACCAAGCCATACACACAAACAATATATGTTGAGTGAGTACCATCGCTTCACGTTTCTAGTTAACATGTTAAGACCTCAAATGATTGGAGCGTAGTGCTGACTATGCTTCAACACCACTTCTGGCATGTTAACTAGGTAGCAACAGCTTCAGGATCTTGTTCAGGGAGCCGTTGTGCTAATACAATCCATTAGCAAAAAATCTGACTTTACCTTTCAACTTGGCGTGTCCATTACTTTTTTCTTAGATTTACGTATTCAAAAGTCCCCAAAGGGGGCTATTTCCCCTAGACAGGTCTCATCCTTTTTGACATGCAATCATAGCCTAATGCAATGAAATGACTGCCTCCCACAACACTTTTCGCACCTAAGGTACTTCAGCATGTTGTCTATGCATATATGCTTTTACATGACTATCCATTATTCACATAAAGAAAGAACACACAAGAAAAGGTACGTTTCTACCTGCCTGAGTCTTCCCTACTTTGAAACGGGTCTTCTCCTACCTGATGAAGGTGCCCAAGGAAGGCCTGGGCCTGGGCTGTAGAGATTGCTCCTCCGACAGGCACAGGCTGCTTTTGAAAGTCCAGGCCATTTGTTTGCGTGCCTGGAAAAACAGAGAGACAACATGAACTATTAGTTATGACTTTTACTCAAGTGAAATAAGATTTATATTCTTAAGTCTCCTACTGTTCTCCCATTAGAAATGGGTAGAAAAGCCCCTCCCTCAAGAGGCACAAGAAGCAGAGCTGGTTTTTTTCTTGTTCTTTTTTTTTTTTCTTTAAACTGAAATGAAAAAAACACTGTTACTTCCAGACTTTGATAATATAGCATTTGTCAGCCGAACACATCAACTTCACAGTCTCCTTAATTTCTGTTATCCTACTTACCCTATGCGCAACATTACACTATCATCCTTTGCCATTGTTTGAGAACAGAATGACTGCATGTTGCTAAGGTTAAATTATGTTTAAATTTTGCACGCACTCGCTATCCAGTAGCTGAAGGCCATTTTGAAGCTCAGAAAGTGGCAAAAACAAGGTTCATATATAGTCATCTTTCACTAAGGACAGAGAAAAATACTTGAGCAAGACGTAAGTACCTTATACATGTATGTGACAGTTATGGGCCAAAGTTTTACTCTTTTGATAAAAGAGTAAATTATATAACATAACTGACTGTGCTTGCTTTTGTTCTCATCCACTTTGAATTAACTACAAACTGATCATATTATTACATTTTTTTCTTCCTTCTCCTAAAGCAAGCCCTAAAGGGCTTGAAAGACACGAAAGCCCTCAAACTACCCCCAATCATCTGGTTATGAGAAAAAAAATTGAACATTTTTTCACAAGAAACTATCACAGAATCCTCTTCTGCCAAAAGGAGCTAGAACTATAACCTTCTAAGAATCATTCTGTGTGGAGATAATAAAAATCAATATTAGCATCAACTGCTTTTGTAAGTTGGGTATTATTACTACCCATAGCGGCTAACAATAACAAGGGAGATTTTTTACCCTGGTTTTAACAAAAAAAAAAAAAGAGGGGGGGGGGGGGAGTGATTAAAATAAGAAGTAAAAACAGGTTTAGACTTGCATATCCATCCACTACGGATAAGTGTTGAACTAATTCCTACTTCAAAACTCATTCCATCACCTACATTTTCTGAGTAAAAAATCTAGGTTATCCACTTCCTTAGAAACATCTGTAAAATCAAGAGGCATAAAATTTGACTAGTAAGATACAGAATCCATCAATATTTTACACAGCTGGTTTGACCTACAGTTTACACAGATAAAAAATTTCAAAGATGGGAGTCACTGTTCAATGAAATACAGATACAGTATAGACAGTCAAGCTTTCCAGCACCTACATGAGATGCACCGAAGGCGGTCCTGTGATGTATTTTTTGTTTTGGGATGGGGGAAGGAATTGATCAATTTTCAATTTTTCATCATCTTCTATGTTTTGGGTTGGGGTTTACAGACTGAAAAACATCTGTTGCTTCCAAAGATCCTCAGGCAGCTTAATAATACTCAAATTTTAACCCGGCTAGAATTATTTTACTTAATAAGTTCAGAATCCCGATTGAATGGAAGGGCCGTCACTAGTCCGATCTAGACAAATGTGACCTGAATGCACTTCTCAATAAATAAATAAAATAAATAAATTTTAAAAAGGGAGGTAGGTAAGAAGGTCTGCTGGAAGAGCTGGAAACTTTCGAGTAAAGCAAGAAATGAGAAGGAAATGGGTACTGTAATTAGAAGAAAACAATCTACCCCCTCCTCGTTTACGTGAATGCTTTAAATGAGCTGTTTCTCTACACACAGTCAGGGACACCTCTCCACCCCTCCCAAAAAAACAAAACCAAAAAAAAGCCAACCACGATACAAGAAAACCCATTATGAAGCCGATATTCCTCATTCTAAGTGGAAACTCACAGGGATCCAAAACTTTTTCTTCTGAGAAAATGAGGGGGAAACCTAACCTTAAATAAACAGGTGAGGCTGATCTACTTAACAGTCTTCCAGAAAGAGCATCAAATCAAGATACCATATGAAGAGAGCGTTGCTGTGCATGCGTATAGAAATACTCCAGTTAGCACTTCGGCTGGCTCTTAAGGTGGAAATGTGAAACCATTCTATCAGGGTTGACAGTTTCGAACAAATTGAGTTCCAAGTCTGAGCTAAAATCTTCACAGGTCCAAAAAAACAGCTTAGACAAGCACTGAGAGAAAATAACATTCCCTTCAAACTGATTCGTGAAGGATTAACTTCCTCTCACAACACCAACCCTTTACAATACCCAAGCCAAAAAAAGCCCCACACTCCACCTGTTCACTCTCTGTTCTACTTGCATCTTAAGCTTTTTTGGTATCCGAAAGTACAGTGTCCCCTGCCCTTCACATGCAGCCTTAGTTTTGGAAGGAACACTGACATGGTTCTTTGCATTTATCACAGGATGCCTAGGTCTTTTGAGGAACAGCGGGGAAAATGAACTTTGAGTCCAGCATGTGAAAGGCCTTGCCTCTAAGGCGCTCAGAAGGACATCACACTCCTCCCACTGGAAGTCAAGAAATTGGAGGACACAGAAAGACGGAGCTCTCAGATGCAGAAGGTCAGCACACTGTAAGGGACGAAAAGGAGCAGAGTGCTACTTCTGTTCAAGGTAAGAGTTAAATGAACAGACATGATAATTAAAGATATGGTAGATGCATAGCCTAACTCTTCTTAACAATCACAAGTATTTATGTCTTTTCCATCTCCATCCCAGTTCCCACATAACTGCTAGAGCAGATCTAACAGCTCATCAGCACCAAAAAAGTGAGAGTGGGACTTCATCTCCCTTCTCTTTTTGCTCCCAGGTATATTTTCCCTGTCCCACCTCCTCTGATACTTTATGGACCCTGCAGTAAGTTGCAACTTACTTGCTAACTGAAGAGTGGACTACTCATATGAACCGTACCCTCTTGGTTTTGGCCAGGTTACTGTTCTCCCGATAACTGAAATGAATCAACTTGCTCAAGGTCCAACAAGCAGCAGATAGTGCAAAGCAGTGCATGGTACTGCATAGCAAGAGAGGTCAGCGAGGTGGTAATAGGGAAGCAAGCCCTCCCTGTTCTCAGTGGCAGCAAGCTGTTAGACTGAATCAAGCTATAATATGAAATTTCACCCTTACAGTGCAATGCAATTTAAGTATCCTTAAATTCTGGCATAAATTTAGTGGTAAACAACTTCAGAAAGCTGGTTCAGAGGAAAACTAAGTGCAATTAATTTTCAGTAACTCAGATCTTTGAGCCATACAGCTCAGTGCTACTGCAGACTAGTGGCAGCACAAGCAAAAGAGTAAGAATAGAAAGAAACAGGAAGAAATAAGAAATAACCCTGAATTCAGATTACTTTATACTGCCTTGGGATTGTACCTGCAGAATATAAAAGCAGGACAAAACAGAACAAGCAAGGTAATATTGCACCAGCAGTCAAGAGAGGAATATACTTTCAAAATTCAAGGTCATAGTTATCACAGTTTAGGCTGAGTTTTGCAAACTGCACAAGAAGAGAAGTAAGGGACTACAGGGCTAGGGAGATGTGGAGTAAGGTACAAGAAAGGACATAGGAAGGGAAGCAGAACAAGGAGAAGAGAGAAGTTGAGTAGGTAGGTATCTGCACTGTGCTCTCAGTGTCTCCCAGCACCTGCACTACATTTCTCTCTCTTCCTTGGCTCAGAAAAAGGAGAGCTACCTATTGAATCCTCCCATGCCATTAATGGGACCCCTGAACAGTTAGTTGGGGGTGGAGGTAGGGGAGAATATCCCCACTACTCAAAAGCCATTGATTCTAAGCAATATTATTAAAACATATAATACTGATATTTTGTCAAAAATTTAGCTGTGAAAGCGTATTTCATGGTTCCTCTTCCATAGGCTATCCTTCTATGGAAGCTGAGAATTCAATCTCAGGAAATGAAGCATGGCAAAGAAGAATATTTAGAATCCTTCTTTCAAATACTACACTTACAAAATTTATTTTTGCTGCCTATGTCAATGCATGTTACAGACTACAGTTTTCATAGAAGTTATATCCTTTGCTTTCAAAGGCAGATACTTTAAAGCACTGCACCTGCACATTACTGAAAAAGGGATAGGCATTAAACAAAAATGAACTTGAACTGCTGAATTGTTTTGGAAAATGTAAGCTCAATAATGAGAAAGAAAGGCTACAGTTTACTATAAGACACACAGTCTTGTTCTCCTTCTCTTTTCCAGCAGATACTAGGTGGCCTGCCTAGCTGCAGCTAAACAATGGAAAAAAATTGTGCAATTCTGCAACACTGAAGATCGGTCCATCAACCCACGTTTTTATTGAAAGTCAGCCAGTTTTTTGTTGGGGGGGGGGGGGTTGCATCTGAAATACAGGTTACTTTTTCAGATGCTTAAAGGGGAGTGAAATTAGCATGAAAATTCAAAAGTTAAAATTGGTTTCAGGCATTTTATTCTGACTCATCTATTTGGGGGATTTTACTGTGTTCCCTAAATAGTCAGAAGCACTGAAGGCTGATTTGCTAATTTCCTTGAAAATTAGCTATTAATTCACAGAACTACTGATTTAAGTCATCTTTCCCCATGGCAATCACATTTTTTTCCTGAAGACACTAGCTCTGCCAGATGCAAGTTTCACGCGCTGCAGTAATCTCTCTTGAAATTGTCAAGTTGCATCAGCTTACTAGAGGTTTGAAACAGCAATGACTCAAACGTCCACTGAGGATCAAAAGACAGACTAGCAGTGCTTACACGAGACTCAAGTGATTTACAAGCGTCACTGGGAAATGAGTGGAGTGATCAACAAGTTCCAAAAATAAGAACTCAGACTCTTCATAAAATTTCTCTTCATGCATTTAACTTCCTATACAATCAATGGCACTTCCAGCTCCATAGCACTGAACTTGAAAGCTGAGTTCTTTTTACTAAGTGTGCACAGAGCCTAGAACCATAACTTAGGTAACCTGGTCAGAAACCTGAAATTACATTTCATGAATATTCCTTTCACGGTTTAAAATCTGCCGGCTGACTAACATAATTGATGTTTGAGCCCTCAAAGAATATCACAAATTTTATTAATCACTACCTCCAATGATTTATGAGCACTACATGTAAAAACCATATAAAGACTACAGAACCAAGGGACTTCAAAAATTCTAGATTCTTTTAGTTTACATCATTTAAAAATTCAGTAAAATCTCAAGTGAATGACTGGGAACATTCAAATTAAAGAAGCAATGCTTCCAAAAGGTCCAAACAAATGCCATCAAGAGAGTAATCAAACATTTGTAATAAAGCAACCTTAGTATTAGAATATAAAAAGCACAGACACTGTATTCTCTTCTGTGACAAAAGCATCTATGTGCAGCTTTGAAATCCAGCAATTTCTTTACCACCATCCTTATGCTGCTGATCTGTTTGCCTCAGGACAGCAAAGCCAGGGTTCTACTATAGGAGAGGGAGTACTCATGTCATAATGAACTGCCTGTAAATTAAATCTTCCTCTTTAACAGTTTAATTTAGGCAAAACTGCTAGTTAAAGTTGCACTTGAGGATGTCCATCAGGGGAAGCACTCTTCTGAGAGAGCATATCCAGGGAACAGCAATCAAATGAAGTAGGAAGCCTACATTTTCTTAGAATGCACCTCCAGTCACAATGACTGTATGGAAAAGGGAGATTTAAAGCCATTGTTCTCTTGATGCTATCTATGACTATGAAGTATTTACAGTCTGTAGATTTTTGAAAATAATGCTTTAAATAATCCTAAAAGAGTATTAAAGTAATTTAAATCATTTTTGTAGAAGAAAGGCCCGACACCCCATATTACCAACACAACTGAAATTATAAAAATCGAGATGCCAATAATAAAAATCACATTGATAAGTGAGCTGGATTCCTTTTGATCGACCCCCTTTAACGGCAGAAAATATCCAGCCTCTTGGATCGGTTCTGGAAACAGTCACTGTTAGCTATATTAAAGCCTTGCACACAGAATGAGGAGACAGCAGCATAAAATCCAATAAACTGTTAATTTCATCACAATTTCCAGAGTCCAAAATGAAAGAAAACTCTTATTACTGAACAAGAGGAGAAAAAATTATTTTTGTCATGCAAGGAAACTAGACCTCTCTCAAAGCAACAAGAATAAGTTCCCTCAAATTAAAGTTTCCTCTGTCAAACACTATCCTAAGCTCAGAGAAGATTCTGAGTTAGGTTAAACTATACTTTGCGTTTGGAGTTGTCATTTCTCTTGTTTCCAAAATGAACCTTAAATGACCTCCAGAAAGGAATTAAGGCATGTGATTGAGTTACGGTGGCTTTGAAAGCTTCTTCAAGGGCTTATAAAACTTAGCCACATCTTAAGGATGTGCCAAAAAGGTGCAACATAACTTCCTCCGCCAAGTTTCAAGGTTCTGTTCTAATATGGGAAGACGTTATAGAAAAGGTCACTAACGTTTTTTAACATTGAGAAACGATGCTTTTTCCCTTTGCCTTGTTCTTGAGAACTGCTGCAATAGCTTGAATGAAGTCTAAAAATGGAAACAAGATCAGCCAATGGCCGTCTCCACCACGGAAAATTTCAGCCCAAAAAGAAAGTGCCGACGTTAGAGGCAGGTGAAGGTAGGTTCTGAAAGGAAAGGACGAGATGGCTTTATGGAGAGCCGTGGCCACCAGGCTTTCCACACTATCAGAAACATTTCAGACAGAGGAAGGGGGGGATAGGTATTGATGATGAGCGAGTGGTGCTCTACGTATACTAGGGTTAATAATTTATTTTCAGCATATTGTGACAAGCAGTATTCAAGTCTTAAAAATAGTAATCGTCTTACCAAAAAATCCTGTAAATTGGTGAAGAAATTTTGCTTTTCACATCTGTTTAATTCCATCAGAAAATATCTGTGCACCAAGACATCATTTCTTACCTGTGTTCCCATCCCCACTCTCCATTGATGGTTTACTGGTTTCTGACGGATTGTTCATTCTTGAGTCTGCATTAAAACAGAAGTGAAAGACATAAACTAATAGAGCAAAAAACAAACAAAAAACCCCACAGCTATTGACACTTTCTTGTCCAAAAAGTGAAGTACAGAACATGAGAAATCTGATGTGTACTTTACCCTAATTCAGCTCATCATACAACAAAAAGCATGTCTAGAAGCAGAACAAAACACTGTGTTTTCTGGTTAAATACTGTTTCACGCTATCTATATCATCATTCACATAGGTGAAAACACAGCGTTAAGGGAATAAAAGATAGAATGTTGCAGGGCAAGGATAGGTAGGACTTAATCTTCAGCAGAGTGAAACAGTGAAACAGTCATAGAAGCAAAAGAAAAAAAAATAAAATAAGTGTTTTTGAATCTTTATGTAGTTGTTGTTAAGTCAGACCATCATGGCCTACATTATTTTTCCATAAGAAAAGGAAATCCAGCTGTTTTAATTAAATAGATACCATTATTTAATTCTAATTTTTTTTTTTTTTATTTTACAGGAATGTCACTGATACCAAGTTAGTTGATATTTCCTATATATTTTCAATAGCTAAAGTTTTGCATATTTTCTCTTCCTTCTCCCTCTGAATGAATCTATTGAAAAGTCTGCTCTGAGTTTCAAAGCTTGTCAGCTGAACATAGTACAACGCAGAGGGCCTCTCCAGATGGCAGATGGAGAATATCGTTTCCTTACATAGGAATCGATACAGATGTTCTCTGTACAGCATCAGCTCCCCAGCATATTACCTCCTCATTCCTTGCTACCAACCTCAGTATACCACATTATCACAAACCAAAATTATAAAAAGAATTTGAAGACAGACCAGTTGATAAAATGAGGTATAAGCAAATCCTTTAACTGAGTCTTCCATTCCCATAACTAGTTAAATACAAGCTCAATGAGCTAAAAATGAACCTTTTGGTTCTTCAGGATATTCTCTTGGTAGTTAACGTTTAATGTCACTGATGTCGCTTGCTTCCATCAAGGCAGTAATTTCCAAAATACCAATGGGCTGAAGAGGAATACAGTAATGGTATTAACTGCTCTATCTTTTCCACAAATATTTCCAAGGATTCCTAGATTCTTCACTGCTTGGTAGTCTGCGGAAGAGCTAGAAATGAGAAGCTGGTCTATAGCTATGTACTAGCACCTGCTATCGGCCAGAGGAAACTGGTGCCAGCCTCAAGATATCAGAGCCAGGGAAAGGGACTACCCGCACGAACAAAACAGAAGAAACAAAGCAGTTAGTGCCTGAATGAAAAGCAAGTCATACTGAATTTTGCCTGGGAGTAAGAGATAAAAAGAGGAGCATATAGGACAGAAAAGAGAGAAAGGACATTAAATGTAGAGGAACTTCAGCGTTCTCTTAGGAAAATGAATTTAAAATGTACCAATGTTTTTAAAACATAATTTTCCATATAAACAAATGCTGTAGCTGAACCAAGTAGGGCTTGGAAAACCCAGAGGACTATAACAAAAGGGAACCTTTCCCCAGCAAGTTAATTCAGCTTCTTCAGAGTCTCAGCCATTCTCAACAAGTTTCTATAACTATGAGAAAACTTTCTGAACGTCAGTCACACGTAAAAGATATCTGAACTGGCTTGAGACATGCCTCCATCAATGCTACTCTCATTATAAAGGCAGATGTGTTAACATTGCTTTTTCAAGCAGGGAGCAAGAGGAGAGAAGCACTCAAACCACATGCTCCTGACCCACATTTCAGCAAAAGGCTGGAAGTTTTGCCCTGTTACTCATAAGATCTGTTCAGTGGATTCCAGGTAAGAGTTCACCATCTCAACAGGCAGCTCTGTTAAGGCTGCAGGTATAGAACCTACTGCTTCCCAATTCCTTATTCTATCATTTTTCATATTTGGATAGTATGGATATAAGCTCTACAAGGGGAGAGTATGGTTCCACTGGCAATGCAGGCAACAGGTTATTTGGGCTACCGCTCCTTGCTGATGGATCTGTGCATAAAGCAAAACTATGTTTTTATGTAGTAGTTGTGCGTTCCTTAAATTGGGTTGATTGTTGTGGTAACAGCACAGCACATTTATTTAAATTGATTGTAGGCAACATTCATTTGATAGACAGCGTTAATTTGTTCCTTGACACACAGCTGGCTACTGAAATTAGTTTAGGTTCAGAGAAAAGTTAACGGCAGACTTCTTTTCGGACCCAAAGATGACGAGTACTCATCCAGCAGGAAAACTAGCAAAGAGAACCTAAAAGTCCAGCATATGTTTTTGTGGAAAGCAGGCTAACTTGCTGGGCTACTGGATGAAGGATATATTTGGTAAACCCAGAGCACAAGGACAGTCCACGCTCACGGTAGGGTTGATCACAGAAGGAGGGAGGATAGGTTCACAAGATTCTCTCTCAGAAATATGGGATCCATTCACTGAACGACTTTTAGAAGCTCTTGCAATGGGAAAAACAAGGTTGAGCCACCTGTGCTAGTTTGTTGAAGTCCTGGAGCCACCATGCAGGATATTAATGGTAGTTTAAGCAAGCAACTCTGGAAGGGAACGTGAGTGTCCTGTGCACAGCACTTCGAGGCATGCAGTGAATATTCGCTCCATACAAAGGGGGGGCTCGCACAGCAAGCGCTTAAAAAGCGCCTTCTGCATGACCAGCAAGTTTGCTCAGGGCGAAGTTACAGATGTTCAGACCCCTTTCCACAAAGCGACCGAGAGATGGTTTTCTGTCAGGCTATACTGCAAAATAAACCCTTTTTAAAAGGTTTCCAGTGTTTGCTAGGACAAGATATACACACAAAGTTTACTCAAGTAGCAGAAGCGTGACTAAATTAAGAATATTTTATTAGGAAGATTCATCCTTGACACAGACGAACACTACTATTAGAAAAAAAAAGCAGCAAGTCTGATGAAGAAACATCATTCTAGCACTGCTGAGGTTCAAAGTAAGGATAGTGTCCATTATTTCACCAGGTATTTCTTGTTTAATCAGTGGGCTTTCTGCATTGGGAAAAAAAAAAGAAAAAAAGAAAAAAAAAAAAAGAACAATGCTGCTATTTCCACTGCAAATAGTATGACATACATCTGAAGCACAAACCTGATACTGGCAAAATACATAAATACCTGCAGGATACAGAACCTACAGTTTCATTACACAGCTAATAAAAACAGTTGGTTTGGTTTAAAGCTTATAAAGCTCATAATCAGAAAGCTCATAAGCTTCTGATATAATTAATTAAATAAAAAGAATAACCTGAATAATGAATAAATTAAAAGAATAAACAAATGAAGTGGGCTAAAGAAAGTCTTAATGCCCTCACCATTTCTGCCCCCCTCATTCTTTTAGACCTTTCTTGGGTTTTAAATAAAGGCCTTGGGCTACAAGTTTCTGCCAACATTATCTAAAAACAAACTCCACAGAAGGAAGGATCGAAAGCAGCAGGTGCATGATTGAAATCAAACTCTCAGGAGCGAATACATTCAGTACCGCTACTCTGCTAGCAGAGTCGAGTGTGACACAAGGCAGCACTGTGCCAGGCTTTCACAGTCCCTCAGTAACGTTTCAAAAGGTATTCAGAAGAAATAAAAACCAGATCCTGGACGAACCTGAAGTATTAGGAACTGTGCCTATCTAGTAAAGCATAGAAAAATCTAAATACAGAATTTCATTAACTGTTTCCTTTCACCCATTACTGTGAAATTGTCTAGTTCTCCATCAGAACCAGCATAAATGACTCACTGATCCACGTGGAAGAATAAAAATTGAACATGAGTGAAAAGATACTAAACACTCAGTGGATCTCTTGAAAGCGTACGGCAGGAATTCATTTTCAGAGAACCACTTCACGTTTAGAAACAAATTTTTGGATGTCTGCTTTAAAACACACCATCTTCAACCATCTATGACCTTTTATAAGGGAATCAAAAGAAAAAAGAATTCTTTATGTTGAGCTTTGGGGAAAGAGCTTTGAAAATAAACACCACCTACTGCCAAATTGGGACAATCAATTATTATAAATAAAAAGATACACAAAGAAGAAGTTATGGCTCATTTGTTCTGTAGTCCTAATGGAATCTCAGCTTTCCAAATACGTTACCCCAGTAACCTTAGGCACAGCTTGCAATGGTATCAATGGCAACCACCGTGGACTCCACCTTATTTTCTCTTACGCATGAAGAACCTTGCTATTACATTAAAAACACACAGCCATAACATACATTCCACTGGGGCATGGCTTAATACAGCTGGTAAATTATTTGAGATTGGGACTCTCTCTCTCTCTCTTATTTATTTTTTAATGTTTTAATATTCAGAACACATGGATACGCAAGTCAGGTCCCCAGTCTCAATGTTCGTTAGAAGCCAACTGTTTTTCAGATTAAAATCCTAAATGTGAAAGGTCTGTATTATTATCACCCATGCCTAACAGCAAAGCTCTTCTGTGCAGAGCAAAAGCTTTCTCCTGGAGCGAAAGGAAGGGGAAAATACACACATTTCCCTTATATAGCTCTCTATATATCTATATCAGGGAGTAACTTGCTGCCGATTCACTGGTGAGCTTCAGCCTTACACATACCTTCTCCAGTCACTGCATATGTGATTAAGCTTCTATGCATAGTCAACCTCACACCCTCTATTTCCATATTAAACGCTTATAAGAAAGAGCTGAGCTGGTACCCACCTAGAACGTAGTCGCTGCAGTCCAGCATTGCTGTGGTATCCTCTACAGGTTCAGATAGTCCAAGGAAAAGGAGAATGACAATTTCTACCAAACCTACACTACTGCTCTCAACCGAACAAGCAAGGGAGTGGGGAGGTGGGGGGAGAAGCACAACTTCAGTTACACCATAGCAATCTTCAACTGAACAGGGAAACTTCAGTTGCTCTGTGGAGTTTTAGTCTCTCCTACTAGCTGTGTCTGACATTGTCAAGGCGACTGAAGCGTGAAAAGTTCCCCTTTTTGTAATAAAATAGAAACAAAGATTGCAGCTGGCAGTTTCCATAATGAAGCTTAATCAGTATGCGCCTGATTAGGGCCTTATGCAAATCTCCTCTCGTTAGCACAGCAGCCAGCACTTTGAAGTCCATGAACAATTCATTTGCAGAGTACACTGAAAGCGCTGCCTGCATAATTTAAATCACGGTATAAATATTTATCAGCTCATTTGCATATTAATTGGCAGTGCATGGAGGGAAAAATTATCTCCCGAGTGCCAGCATAATAATTAGGGAACAAAATGAAATTTCTTCCAATAGCTTGGCTTCCCAGCCCTAACTTGAGCACAGTACCACAGGGGAGCAGCGAGGGGAAGGAGACAGAGTTCTGTTCAAATGCCACCGAAATGACACGTACAAATTAGAAACAACTCTACAGACTTAAGCACCTTTAATCTTATTCCTGCAAGAACTGCAGGAATAAAGGGGATTGGGGGAAAAAAAAAAAAAAAGAAAAAAAGAAAAGCTTTCTACGCAATCCAAATAATCCCAAGAAAACAATTAGCAAGGTGGAAGCTGAACGCAGAGCTGTCAAACGGGCGCTTGCACATCTGTGTGGAGTTTTCCACATCCTAACACAAACTGTCACAAGACGGTGCTAGTCAGCAGAGAGGGTAACACTAGGGCAAGGAAGCAGCACAAGTCTTTTTAAATGGCTAAAGAGCTTGGTGATTCATTATCTGGTAATCCCTTTGCAACGGCCAAGCTAACAGCAGCGGATATGTCAAGTATTGTGCAATATTTGACACCCACTAATCTATCCCAAGTGAAATCAAAATGTATTTAGTTTTATACTTCCCAGTGACTTTCAAGTTAAGAAAACAAACAAACAAAAAACACCATACACCTACGACCTCCCCTACTATTCATCCCTTCCACAAGTATACACAAAATAGCTAAACAAAGTTTACCATGGAGCTGCGATTTTTTTTAAAGGGACATCTTACAGCAATATTGCATCTTTGAACCACCTATGATAATCAGCATACTTGCTACTGGACCATAAAACATGCTGAAGCAGTGGAGGATAGGAAAGAGGCTTTAGTCTAGGAAAGGGGAGAATTGATGCCGCCATAAAGTGGTCCACACCATTAAACATACTGAAGAACTGCAACCCTAGATTAAATCATTTTAAACAGTTTATTTTCCATTCAAATTCTGGCTTCCAAAAGAGCAAGAGCATTTATATATAAAGTGTAACACGTACGTCACATTTAATAGTCTACAATCTGATCACAGACAGACAAGGCGATGATCAGTGTTGGGGACTACAGCATTGGGCCACACACTTACAGATATTAATGCGAATTTAAAAAAAAAAAAATCTTTTAAACTAGCTGTACTTCTCCTGATTTCTGAAGTGCATTCAAGCACCACCTCTTCAAACAAGAGAAAAAGCAAAAGAGAAGGGACTTCTCAGTCACCTGGTACTGACTGAAATTTATTTCCGTGCTTGACCTCTTCTTCTGTTCAGGTTCATATCTCTACTTAACACAAGATGTTCCCCCCTATATATTTAACATGAGTGATCTAAACTTGAAAAGATGATAAGAAGGGAAGGTGTTGCTAACTGCAGGGATACAACTGTGTGGTTTTCTACTCATTCAGGTGTCCTATTAAGACCTCTGAGGCACATCTCCGTGGTTCTGAGACCTCTGATAAATTGCACTCTTCTGTGCATGCTTTTGGAGTGTGCTGTGGGATGACCCGTTTGCTCCATCAGTAGAGCCTGGATACAAATGGTACGTTTGCTCCATCAGTAGAGCCTGGATACAAATGGTACAATAAGCCAAGCACTTAACAAAGCAAGCACCAGTTTTAGTGTCGGCTAAGCTCTCGGCAGCCAGTAGCATGGTAAGACGACAATGGTGTCATCTTTGGGATCCTTCGCAAATGAGAGTCTGCGCTGAGCTGGCTGAACACAGGTGCAGCATCAAAAGCAGATGAATGCAGGAAGTGACCGTTAAAAACAGGCATGTGTAGTGATGGATGACTTCTATCAAACAACAGAATAAGCAACCAGTAAATAAAGGCCAGGGAAGGATGTTCCTGAAGCAGTGTTAGTAGGTGTACTGATGGTACCATGCTGCTAGCCATCACCCACACCATCAACATCACCTTGACAGCTAACAAGGGAAAAAACAAAGTTTACTCGCTACTCCTGGTAGTGTCAATCAACTTTCTGTACAAATACCAACCCTCACACAAAGACACATTTGAACTGTAACCTCTAACTCGCTTATCAAAATAAAACCTTACAAAATGACTACTCTAACTAAACTTGACAAAACACACATACTTTTCTTCCAGGGACCACTCGAGTCTTTGACAATTTTATTATCTTCCCTAAGTGTGAAACTTCTGGCCAAATAACTATAGTTACATTATCTTCCATATGTTCTTACTTCAAATGAGTGCCTTTGCTTTGCTGTTTCTCCCACCAACGTGCCACTATTTATTTCAGTTCTAGTGACTACAGTTGATAAAATTTCTTAGCTTTTGGTAAGGGACCTTCATTTTCCCCTTCAGGTTATGCAGCTCTTGGTTAGACCTGCTTTTGTCTCTTCTCTTTTATTCTTTCTCCTTTCCATTTATTTTACCCACTTCACAGATTGTAAATCCCTTAGGACAGAATCTGTATGATGTCCTCAAAACAAAATTATTCTGCAACATTGTGTATGTGTATATAAAAATAAAAGTGATGTAAATAGGGACAGTTACTACCAACTATGGAGGAAACGATGTTTAACATCTTATCTTCTGATGGTGTCTGTCTGTTCCCTTTTTTTTTTTTAATTGCAAATGAGGCAGAATTAAAGATAAAATTATCCACACTCTTCCATTCAAACACCTTCCTGGGAAAAAGAAACTTCATTCCCATGTAGACGTGTTTCCATGTATTAGTAAAATGTCATTTACTACATGCCCTCAGTAACAGCTAGAAAATTTCTGCCACTAGGCAGCTCTGTTTGACAAGAGTGACCTTTATAAACTTCCCAGGCAAGCCTGCTCACACAACATGGCAAGATCACCCAATAAACCACCAATACATTACTTCACTTTCAAACAGCATACTTGGAATGATATAAGGAAATGAAATATGGTATTCACCGTAACATATCACTATACTGCCTTCATTAGTGTATCAGTCTCTACTATATTTTATCCCAAAGAACCACAGAGCTACTGCATTTTAACTCAAGACATTTCCAAGTCTCATTCTACAAGGTAAACGAAACCTAATAAAAATTTCATCAAACAGAACTCCGATGCATTGTAAAAAACATCACATACTTCAATAAAATAAATTGTTATTAAAGGTGGCACAATCCTCTTAGAGTAATTATGGACAAACAGCAGTTAAAACTGCAACTAAGCTCTAATTTTAGCTACAACCTTTGACTCTGTCTAACAAAATTGATTTTATCAGAAAATTGCTAAGTTCGTGCTGAAAGCCAAAGGCCATTTTTCTGGAAAAGTCAAATAAAGTTGGCCTGGTTTAGAATTATAGGTCATCACAAAATTGCTATGAACTGAAATTTTAGCCTATATTTAATTTTACTTCTCACAAACTCAAAACACGACTATTCTTTCAAACTTTCCATTACACAAATTGTCTTCCAAAATTCTTTCACATACCTTATTTGAACAAAATTAAGCATGGGGATAGCAAAACAAGAATGGTAATTATCTCATCAGTACAGGGCAACAGACACGCACAAGCAGCTCATGTATCAGTATAGAGTTTTGTTGGGTTGTTTTCTGTTTGTTTAAATCTGACAGTTGTTTTTTGTCCACAGAAGGTAGCAACTAGGGTTTAGTAAAATCATCTTTATAGGAAGAAAACTGTGATCATGTCAAACTCATAGCTGAGGGCACCATATGGGAAGGGGAAAAAAGAGGATGAGTGGCAGGGAGGAGGAAGAGAAAGAAAAGAAGTTATAGCGTTATAGCGTTCACAAGCAAACCGGGTCTTATTTAAGACGCATGTCTAATGCTACCATCCTGGTGCATCAGCTGAACAGTTCTGCCCTCCCCTCGCAGCCTGAAAGTTAGAGCATATAAGAAAATATCAGAATTATACCCACATACGATTTTTCTTTTCATTCTGTTGAATGTTATGTTTTCAGAAGCAAAGGATACGAATCCAGGGCAAGTTTAATAAGTCTACAACACAGTGAACCCTTTGTGTTCAAAAACACAACTTTGATCCATGAAACGGTCATAACATTTGCTTAGAAATCATGGAATGTTGTGAAGAGTAACAAAAATTGGCTCTTTACGTCTTCTGATTTAAGAACTCACGTTTCACTCATATTATGCTTTCAAGGTTTTCATCACTACCACATAAAGGCTTAAGATGTTTTTATTTTTACACTAAACACCAAGTGTGTCATAATCACTGGCTCCAGGAACTTGATTCAAAAAAACAACTCAATATCATACTATTTGAGAACAGCAGATGTGGGTTATTTAACAAGCATGTTGCATCTACCGTAGAGCAGTAGCACAGTAACATTTTTTCCATAGCTGCAGGAAGGCACTCACCTGCTTTTAATTTAACTAAAAATTAACATAAATATTGACTAAACCATGCTTTGATTCCACCACACCTGAGGTGCGGTTTCATACTGTTAGAACCAATATTCATTTCCTAATAAACTTGCACGTAAAAATAGCATTCTAATGTTATGCAGGCACCTTTTAAAAACACTCTCAAACTATTTTTAAATGTAAATATTTGAAGGGAGACACCCTTTTGAGTTTTTATTCACACACATACATGTAGGCCTCACTTTCCTTTCAAGTTACTCATTTGTCAAAGCTGGAATACTTTACACAGACAAATATTAAACATCTGGAGCA